CTCGTGGGTTGAATGAAAGAAGTCCCGGCACACCTACTTTCTTTTGTATCTCAGCACCAAGTGATCGTTACACAGTAACAAAAATATCATTAAATACTACAGACGCAGGGCTATCAGATGATATAAATTTTATTCCATAAAAGGCAATGGTGGTGATACAGGAATTACTCAAAAAACTGGAAATATTATAGATAAAGTACAAAATGTCTTCTACTGTCTATCCTTTCCCTTTCTACTTCTTTTTGTACTAGGACCAGGCTGGTAGTCATTGTCATCTATATTATTATAAATAAACATAGTTTGATGTTAGTATCATTAATATTAGCTTAGGTATTAAAGAATAATAAAGTAGATAATCTTTACCTTCATCAGTAGGGGGGTCCTCTGACTCGTAATCATCCTCTCTACTATGAGACTCAAAGATCTCATTCGACCCTTTATCTTCAGCCTCCAGAATAACCTCTGTAAGGAAAGACCTAGGGTTAGTCTTTGCTGTATCTTGTTTACTACCCTTAAAATGGCGTCCAGGTTGTAGCTCGACCTCCTTTAGGCAGCGGTATAAATTTCCCCAAAGGTCCTTGCTATTTTTTCGACGCCAAATATAAGCAACTAGATGCCAAGGCATCATAGCACTAGTGCGATGACGTGCAGAGACATTCATCTTAATACCATTCCAAACACCTAAAGTAAGAGAGTTTAATAAGTGTATATACTCAGTGTTTTATATATATATATGTAAATAGTCATTATAGCTTACCTTCAATAGTGTTTGTATATATATTGGTATCTGGGACCTTGAAATGCTTACTATGATTGACTTTATCAACTTTCAGATCCCTTTTAGGGTCCACATCAATACTATTGTACCCTTTCCAGCAGTCAACTATAATATGGGTGCCTATAAGTAGATTTTAAATATTATTAGTAAACGTTAGAAAAATCAGCTTTCAAAGATAGAAGAAGGATCTATGAAAGAAAACACGGCGCGCACTATATATAGTATATAAGTAGTATATATATAAGTAAATCTGTGTAACGTAAAAATACCCGATATAGTAAAATTGACGTCACTGAATCCCATAAAAGGTACGTCAGAGTTTCAAACATATACCAAAAAAGGAGAAATGGGCTGAAAACCAACTTGAGCATAGAAGACTGTTTAATAATTTATTGATTATAATTTTTTTATTCTTAAAATATAATTTAATTTTTAAATTTTATTTTTAAATAAAAGATAATGATCATTATAAATAGGGGTGGTCCGAGAAAAAGTCTTTGATTTTTTTGAAGGTGCAGCTGGTCTTTGAGACGGTAGTCGAAATTCTAGAATGATGGTAATTATTCTAAACACTTGCCTACAAGTGTCTCATAAACAGTGTCCTTTATTATTCTTTAATACCTAAGCTAATATTACTGATACTAACATCAAGCTATGTTTATTTATAATAATATAGATGACAATGACTACCAGCCTGGTCCTAGTACAAAAAGAAGTAGAAAGGGAAAGGATAGATAGTAGAAGACATTTTGTACTTTATCTATAAAATTTCCAGTTGTTTGAGTAATTCCTGTATCACCACCATTGCCTTTTATGGAATTAAATTTATATCATCTGATAGCCCTGCGTCTGTAGTATTTAATGATATTTTTTTTACTGTGTAACGAGCACTTGGTGTTGAGATACAAAAGAAAGTAGGTGTGCCGGGACTTCTTTCATTCAACCAAGAATATTACCTGGAGCCATATAGCTATCAATAATCATCTTCAGTGTTTCACCAGTACGGTTGGGAACAGTAGTCAAAAAGACACGTTTTTCAGGTGTATTACGCTCAATACCCCCTACTACCCAAACACCTTCAACATGTTTGCCATAGCCACCTTTGGTAAGCTTAGTCTTGCCAAATTTGCTTTCATCAATTTCCACAATAATCCGTTCTCCATTTGGAAGACGGCCACCTAGTCAAAGTAAATAAGTAGCTTAGTAAGCAATAAATAAGATGGAATAAAAAAAGGTATATAAAACTTACCAATTATAACATCTTCAGTCTTCAAATCAGCTTCAATTATAAGAAAGAGGTCTTTAACAACTCCCCTAATAGTTGGCAAGCTAAGCCCAGACATCAAGTACATTTCTGTGGGAAAACTACCCACTAGCCAAAGGTAGGCTACCAAAAGTATACGGCCAAAGTTCTCCTTATGATGACCACCAAAAAAGGACCCCTTCCAAGCAGATACAACCTTAGGCTTAGTAGTACAAGTTCTTCTTTTAGTACAAGACCAAAGTAAACCATCACGTGGGCTATCAGACAGCTTCATAAGGTGCCCATCACCACAGAACTTCTCCTTTGGAATAATCCCAAGCTCTTGAATATACCTTTTACTATATATTAGCAACCTTCATGACTTTTTTTAAATATCACACAAAGTAAAGTCTATAACTACTACTTACTCTATAGTTTTCTGGACATCAAGACACTTAGGCATCACCTCAAATAGGTCAGGAATACAAATAGCCCTTTCATTAGCAGCAGTAGGAAGAGGGGTAGAGGGAGAGGTAGCAGACATAGTAAAGTAGTGAAAAAAGTAAACAATAAGAGTGATCAATAGGAATCAAATAGGGGAGTGAGTAAGGAATATAAAGAGAGGTTTACCAAAAGTTGCCCCTTTATATACTTTTTTAACCGGAAGCATTCGGAAGGGAAAAAGGATATCCCGTCGGAACGGAATGTTTATGAGTCATAAAGGAAGGGAAAAAGGATATCCCGTCAGAACGGAATGATTATGAGTCATAAAGGAAGGGAAAAAGGATATCCCGTCGGAACGGAATGTTTATGAGTCATAAAGGAAGGGAAAAAGGATATCCCGTCGGAACCGAATGATTATGAGTCATAAAGGAAGGGAGAATAATATTCCATCGGAATGGAATGATTATGAGTCATAAAGGAAGGGAAGAAGGATATCCCATCGGAATAGAATAATTATGAGTCATTAAAGAAGGGAAGAAGGATATCCCATCAGAACGGAATAACTATTGAGTTATAAAGAAAGGAAAAAAGGATATTCATCGGAACAGAATGACTATGAGTCATAAGGGAAGGGATTCATTGGAATAGAATAATGATTTTTTAAAATAAAATATTCTCATTTTTGATGAAAAAAAGTTGCATTCAGTATATTATAAAATTTTACTATAAAGAAAAGTTGGTCGCTGCCGGAATTGAACCCTTGACCTTTGGAGATTTTGAACATTCAAAAAAAAAGTAAAGCTTGTCGTCGCACAATACTCGGTTATATTAATAACCGTACATATTTCTTTTACTGCGGTCATCAAGTTGCGCAGCTGCCCACTTAGTATACTTCTTTACTGCGCAACGCTAATCGTCGGAGTCATACCTTTATTCATAGCTATTATTATATCCGCAGCTTATCATTGTAATCATCATCATCATATCCGCAGCAGTATAAATGTATATTTATAGTTTTAGAAATAGTATAAATATGGGTCAACTTGATTAAATAAAAAGGGCATCTAATAACCTATCTATCTTCGTGCATATACCTTCGTGGTCTTACTTCTTTGTGGTCTCCCCTCCGTTTTTATTCCTTCGTGGGTCGTCATTATTCTTCATGGTACAATCTTACAAAAAGGACGACAAGCTGAACAAGCAAAAAAGGTACACTGCAGGATTTGAACCCTGACTATACCCAGCACCAGTCCAAAGCTCTACACCATCAGCTACCAGCATGTTTGGTTTGCTTTAAAATTTATACCAAAGGGCCCAGTGAAAACCAAAAAAATGTGACTGTATCGTTGTACCTTTGTTTTGAAAATAATATGCTGAATTTTCTATTCTTAAATGTATATTTATTAGCTTATGTAAGACTACTAATTTAAAAAGCTATCAAGCAAAATGTTTGTAGAAATTATTCTACGCTACTTATTGGGTACTGTGATTTGCAACTAAAATCAGTAGATAGCCAAAATAATACTCTATATGCGAAAAATAAAAGCATTTAGTTTCATCAAATAATAACAGTTACTCTCTATACTCAAGTTGGTTTTCAGCCCATTTCTCCTTTTTTAGTATATGTTTGAAACTCCGATGTACCTTTTATGGGATTCAGTGACGTCAATTTTACTATATCGGGTATTTTTACATTACACAGATTTCCTTATATATATATACTACTTATATACTATATATAGTGCGCGCCGTGTTTTCTTTCATAGATCCGGTCTAACACACTAGCCTTATATCCTACCTTTTGTAGAAGGCACGAGTTTAAAACCCCCTTTTGCCAAACTTTAGTGTAAATGTTTTTTGAAAAACTGGTTTTTGCTATTATCCAACCAATTCTGATTATTTTCATATAAATAATATACCATCAGATGCAGCTTTTTTTCCTCGTTCCAATAAGTATAAAAGCATATATTTTTATATAGTAAGTCTATAGATGATCCCATTGCTTATACATTTATGGTATTATACTTTAGGAATTACTATGCACACGACAAAACTTGACCTCATGCACGACATTTTTTTTGGTAGCTTAGTATTCTGCAGTTGTTGTACGCACCGTCTCTCGTACAGTTTGAAAGACTCTGTGTACAACAAAAAACTAATGTTGCGTACGACAATTTTCTTTGGCAGTTGTCGTACGTACCGTCTCTTGCACAATTTAAAAGACCCTGTGTACGACAGAACTATGATGATATATACCGTGTAACGTGGAATGTTAACATACCGTGTATCCAAATGGCTAGCAAACAACTTATTTGTGCCAACATAAGTACTATAATATAGTGAAGCACAAGCAAGAAGATTTCTAAGTAAGCACAAAAAAACGTAGCTAAGACTATAGAAAAGTGAGTAGACGGTGCACCAAGCTTTTTCACCATTTTAATATCTATGACGGTGGTATTGGCTGCAAAGACATATCCTGTATTTCGTGTTCTAAAACTTGCTAGAGCTAGGGCTGTCATATAATTCTATTCAGTTAAAATTTTGACGGTCAATGTAATATTCGACGTATATATAATGTAAGATGATAATAATGTGTACACCAAATAGTTGAATATTTGGAGGGTGAAGAACAAAACATGTAGTAAGAAATAAGGGATCAGGAAAATAGGTTTTGATATGATTGTAAAGAACAATTAATCCGGAGACAAGGCACAAGAGCTTAAATATGAGACAAGAAGAGCATAAATCGTCGAGTACGATGAGGTAAACGACATTTGACACAAAAAAAAGTGCAGAACTGCATAAGGGGTTATGATTCGTGTTGCTTTTTATAATCATTCATCACTGCTTTCACTTTCATCCGAATCTATGGTGGGATTGATGGCACTGCCGAATTTAGCACTCTTTTTCATGATATCCACTGCGTCGTCGTAAGAAACATTCTTATCTTCTTGGATAAGTCGTGCAGCTATCTCTGGAACAAGAATCTGCTGAACAAACTGAAGTGGTGGCATCGGGGCTGTATCTGCTGCTGTCAGGTGGTTCGATTTCAATAGTTCTTTCGTCAAACAATCCATAATGATTTGCATTCCACGGGGTCCATATAACCAGGCTGTTTTAAACAATGATTTAGTAAGTTATTTTATGAGTGATAGCTTTGTACTTACTAAAGATTTTTCAGCCCTTACCATTCGTACGAATATGGATCGTGCAACACTTCGGCTATATTGGCTGTAGAATTCGGTTTCTATCGATTTGAATGTGCTTTCGGTTTTGCCGACTATGATATCTTGTATAACTGGTACATAATTCATTACACGTAAAGGCAAGGTCGCAAAATCGATATAAGCTGGGTAACCTTAGGCGATTCCTTCTGGTCTGATTAACATTTCTTTCCTATGAATGCTGCAGAAGTTGTATTGCTCAGTAAAGCGAACTGGTCTGGGTTTAATCTGTGCTTCATCGAAGCAGCGGCGACGAGACGTTGAAAGTTCTTTAATGCGGCGTTCGTCTTGTTTCTTATGCTTCTCTTCTTTTTGTATATATTCATCGTACTGCTTCTATATAGCAGGAGGTAACGGTAATAGCAGGTGTGTTTGACAATGGGGACATGCTATTGTACCATGATCTAGATAGTATAACAGATGTGTTCAGAGTTACTAGAATACAAAGATACGGAGCGGCAAGTTATAGGTACCATGATAATCGCCCCACATATCAATATCGCAATCAGATTCATCTAAAATCAGAATGGGCGACGCTTGTCTTCTTTTTTCTATGCTGATTGCTGTTGAATCTTGATCCATTGTTTTTTTGATATGCAGGTACCTCCAAAACGTTTTGTGATCGTGACCTAGGTTGATCTCGTTCTATTGCTGCTTATGTCGCTGTGATATCGGGGGCCATCGCATTTTAACAGATGATCGCAGCAAGACCGGCTCCTAATGGTTCCCATTCATGAAATGCATAACGAACGGCAGGAGACTATATCGTTTGCCCGAAAGTACAGAGTATGGCAATGTCAGCAACGGCGGATGATATTTCGCCCATGGACCAGATGTATAGCAAGCAATCAGCCGCTCCAAAGCATTGGCTACCAACTGAATATCCACGCTTCCGTCAAACCAGTACTCCTTGGGACAGTCGGCCTCAATATCACCAAAGGCGACACCATAAGACATCCTTTTGACCAGTTTTTTATATTCCGTCTAGCTGCCACCACAGATGTAAGACAAACAAATGCTTTTTCCCTTAGCTACCACGTACTCATGCATTCTTTTTTTGATGTCGGCGTATTTATCTTGATTGCTTTTATATTCGAGATACGACAAAGTTCTGAACCCACACCATCTGTCCGGATTTATCTCGACCGAGTCTGTAATGTACGACAATAGAATATCTGGATGTATTGTCGAGCTACACAGCAAACGGTGTAAGTTCATATATATTAAACCACTACTAGGCAAATATATGCCTATACCTTTGATCATGTAGAGCCTGTATACTACACTTTTTGTTTGGCCAAAGCTCTTCAGAACCATTCTCAATCATTGTAAGTTTTCTTTTTTGACCATTGGGTTGGATTCGTTTTTTTCAGTAACAGTTTTTTTTCTTCTTTCTGATTTTTCTTTTCCTTTCACATCTTGTTCGATAATCTCAAAGTAAGATGGTAGCCTCGACCCAATAGCACCCTTCGGTCGTCCTTTGGTTTTGACAGCGGTCAGTAACTCTAAATCTTTGATGGGTACTGGTTTGTACTGATCTAAAGCCATATGTATACATGATATCAAGTCTTGCTTTTGTTGAGCCGTCTGTGCATCGATAAATAAGTTGTCAATTCGATCTTTAAGCTCTTAATAATCTAGCTCCAACGCATCTTCTTCAACATCGTTGATATCGGTTCCAAGTTCTTCGATGACAGGTTGTTTAGATACTTTTGCTATATGATATATGAGCTGTTAATTCCATACTAAAATATTGACTTTAGCTGCGACATTATAAGTTACATACTTGTACTTGACACCAATTTCCATCTTTTGTCAAATATATTGGGATGCAAGATTTCTTGATCATTAAACTCGTAAAAATAGTGTCTGCACGGCAAACGATAATTGACAAAGACTTCATAGCTATTACATTGCGATGATCCCAGCGTCAAACGGCGAGCGGCAATCAATTCAGATATAACGACGTTGATCGCTATAGAGTTGCCACGGTAATTACTTAGTAGAGATATAACTCATAGTTAAAGAAAAACAAGAGATTTATAGATTATTAATAAATTATAATATTTTTTAATGTAATAAGTTCAAAAATTTTATATTTAAAAAAATATAGTTGTTTCAATTTTGTAATCCTTAATGAAATTTGTAATCACCAAATATTTTTGTAATCTTTATGAATATAAAAATTTCATAAACTGGCGGAATGGTAATGAGCATACCCTCCTTTGAGCTAGACCAACTGGATCGACGCTTAGCTTGACAGAATAGAATTATATATAATTTTGTTATTTATAACAAATATTATTAATATGATTCATTCTCCGTAGGTCCAGTCCACCCAGTCCACTTAGGTAGACCCCAGGTGGACTCCAAAATATTTTTAGATATTTGGCATCAAAAAAGGCCTAGGAACACGATTTATTATAATGAAAAGCTTTACCTAATTAGTACATTGCGAAGATATAAGCTATTTACTGTTGAGCAGAAGGTATACTCTACCGAGTCTACCTAGTCCACCTACAAAGTACTTATTCTGCCCCAAATTTAACTTTGAAAGTCAGTTACGAGAGAGTGTAAAGACAGTTGAAAAAAACCGTTAAAGTGTACTTGTCATCTTGTTTCATAAGAGAATTGTATATTTCAACTATATGAAAGGTAAGTAAAGAGAGAATGGGAGGGGCACGATCTTACTACTACAAGAGGAGAAACAAAAATGGAGGTAAAAAACAAACCACTTTTCATATAAGAAATAAACTTGGTTTGTTATTATTACTTCTTTACAACTTCCTTTTTCACCTCCATTTTTGTTTTTCTTATTGTAGTAGTAAGATCTTGCCCCTCCCATTCTCTCTTTACTTACCTTTCATATAGTTGAAATATACAATTCTCTTATGAAACAAGATGACAAGTACACTTTAACGGTTTTTTTCAACTGTCTTTATACTCTCTCGCAACTGACTTTCAAAGTTAAATTTGGGGCAGAATAAGTATTTTGAGTCCACCTAGGTAGACCCTAGGTGGACTCCACAATATTTTTAGACATTTAACATCAGATACGGCTCAGGAACACGATTTACTATGATGAAAAACTTTACTTACTTAATACATGATAGTGATATGACAAATTTACTATTGAATATATAGTATACTCTTATATAGACTAGGTGGATTTTGAGGTTGAATCTTTGGCCCCTTTAAGTAGCAAGTTCCTTATTCTGCCCCGACTTTAACTTTGGGCCCCCCCCAGTTTTCAATTTTTTTGAAAGTCAGATAGGTGAAGGGTAGCAGGCACAGAATAAAGGGACTTGGAGAAAAAATTGAGTGCAGCAGTATATGTTTTGTCAGCGACCAAAAAAAAGCATTGTAACTACATGGTCTGCCATTCATCTTGAGACAAGGTAATTATGAAAGTGCATCTGTAAATTTTAAAGCTCATTGAGAACGGGGAGCGGTAGTAAATAGCACAGGGAGAGCACTTACGATTTGCGGCAGAAATAAGCATCTGCACTTTTTTACTAACGGTCACTGTCAGGCCTGCTCAAATCAATTCTAATAGACACAACTGTAACAGCGATTCGAGATGAAGTTGGATTCAACACGTAATTATAATATATGCGGTGAGATGGAGGTAAGAACGAACGTATATATTGGATATACATAGGTGTGTGCGCGCGTGTGTGTTTGTTGGTATAGCATTGCGGTAAAAACGAAGGCCTTTCTTGTCTTTGTTCTTGCTCCAAACACACACGATCATTTTGCCGATTCCTTTTACCATCGACGTCGACGCTTCCACCATTCAATAATCCAAACGTCGATGGCCCTTGATGAACGACGAAAAACATACAAGAACTTGTTACGGCGTGTTGGTACTCGATGCGCAAATACTTTTACAATACTCGTTTCCATACCTCGCGTATAAACACATACAATGTCCAACCCGTTTGGCATCGCCATCTCAAGGAATGGTCAAGGCTTATTTATTGTAATCTACAATGCTGATGGTAAGTGCTGCAAGTGTTTTCTAAGTTTTTATAATTATAAAGGGTGCACAAGTGTCTAATATTACTACTGTTCCTTGCTCTATCATACCGCCTCTTTCATTTCAGCAACCAGCAAAGATATCGGTGCAGCTAATGGGTACGCATATCTTATGAAAGAATGGGTGGGATGCACATCCATTATGCTATTGAGCGGTCTATGTTATGTTACATACTGCACTTATTTTATAGCCCCGGAAACGCGCTCCCTCAAAGGATAGTATCAGTGGTTGGATATAGGAGGGACAAAAGAAAAGAGTGGGATTGTCTTTCATCGTTTGTATTGTAAGTACTTTATGAAAGCAATAATAGGTGATACTTTATATAGTTGGCTGATAATTTATACGATATATTTATAGATAATAAGATGAAATAAAGGAAATGGTGATCAAGAATTGTTTTGGCGGTGGAAGTTGGCATTGGATGGTAGGGATAGGATGTTGTTCAGATCGGTTTTGACGCTCGATGCATCTTCAGCAAGTTTAGTCATTCGGGCCATTACAGCATCAACAGAATCAGCTTCTTGCCCATCGTGAACAGTGGATTTCTCCAGAAGGCGCCTTATTGCTGTTGTTTCCTGTGATATCTGTTGGTAAATGTCCTTGAGCTTATCCATTGGCGTTGGAAGACGTTGACCTTGGTGCGGCTGTGCTTGGGACGTTGATCCAGTGGCATGCTCGATCCAATGTTGGTGGGTGGCCATAGATGGACGTACAGTGACGGTTTTTACATGCTGTTCCACCAAAAACATGTGCTTACAAGGGAGCAACGATCTATCAAACTTTGGACACGAGCAAGAAATGAGTTGGCTATTACGTGATATGACCTATTAGAATAGATAGTATATAAAGTAAGTAATAAGAATAAGAAATGAAACATGGAAATGACTATATGAAAATCGATTTACATTGTAAGTAGTGCTGCTGTCAACAAAGGATTGAACTGTATACTTCGTTGCAGACACCACATGGACTTTTGAGGGGAGCTCTGCACGATTCACTTTTTCGGCTTCTTGTTCTTCTTTACACATAGCGTGCTCATAAGGACCCATTTT